TTTAGGCTCTCTGAGGCTTCATTTTCCCGTCTGTAAAGTGGGCATGCTTCTACCTACTTTGCAGAGTTCAAAGTGAAATCCTGGGTGAGGAATCAGCATGGTGGCTGATCTGGAGCGTATGCTTGATAAACAGGCAGCGTGTCCTTGCAGGTCAGGCTTCTCCCTCAAGGGAGTCACCTCGTCACCTTTGGCCAGCCTGGCAGGCTGCCTGGAGTTGGTGTGACTGGAGTAGAATGGGTCCCAGGAGGGGAGAGGGAAGGAGAAGGAGCTGGGGTGAGTGGAAGCCCTTGGCTGGGGATACAAAGGGATCCCATGAGCATCTCTGAGCTCAGCCAACCAGAGCATTGCAAGACCATCATGGCCCAGGTGGTTTGGGAAGACACTGGAGAATGGGCCTCTGCCAAGTTCCGGGGCCTGCTCTCCTGGCAGGGACTCACTGGGCAGAGAGGCCAAAGACTCACACTCTTAGGTTTCCCTCTGTAAGGTTCAGAGGGTCCCCAGGGCAATCTCCAGCCTGGGAGCGCGACACAGGAGTCCCACTGTCCAGAAAGACAAACTGAGAGACAGAGCAAGCAGTTTCTCTGAGGGAGCCCTGGCCACAGCGGTGGCCTCCTGCTGTAGCCCTCAGCACACCAGGGTGAGAAGTGGGGTGCACGTGGGTGACACATGACTGTGGTCCAGAGGACTAAGCCCAAGGCAGCTTCTGTGCAGAGCCAGGGGTGGCTGACGCCTCACAGTGGGCGGGACCACCTGGTGCCTGGAGCCTCTTTGGGGAGGCTGGCTTCCAGGGAGACAGCGCCAGGGGCTTTGTGCCCAGGCTGCTGCTCACTTGTTTTTTGCCTTCCCTGGGCTGCCGGGAAAGAGCTCTCTTCACTTCATCTGCACTTGTCTCCTCCCAAGTGGCTGCAGGCTAATTCTCTTGCTCCTGAGAAACACTCAGGGTGCAGGTGGCAACCATGGTGACGAATGGGCTGGGACACAGGGCCCTAATGAATAGCTACAAGTTCGAAAGCAAGTGACAGGAGTCTGAGGGACTGGTCTTCAGGGTCACCCAGGGACCAAGCAGAAAAAAAGGCTGGTAGGGGGATCTCCGCAGCATGAAGAGCTTAGGTTAGACTATATGGAGAACTGTCTGGGTGGTTAAGCTGACATTCTCATTGGAGAACTCTGGTAGAAAGGCAGGAAACATCCTTGATAGACAGAGGGATGGAGGGAACCTCTAGATGGCACCACTTTTCTGGAAGGATCAAAATGGTCTTCTGGTTGCCATGTCAACAAGAGGGTTGTCACTCTTGTAGCCTGAGGAGGTGGGGGAGGGGCAGGTCCAAGAAAGGGTCTCAGACATTGAGTGAAAGTAGGGAGGACACTGTGACAGAAGGGGAATGTCACCACACAACTCCTTGGGAGAGGCATCCAAAATAAGCAGGCATCAGAGGTCCCCTGGGCTGTCCCCTGCCCCACCCTGCATGGCAGTGTGTTTTTCCAGCCACCAAGGCCCTGATGTGGCCGGGTCCCTGCTGGGCTAAGAGCAGCCTGTGATTTCACCCTGGGCTGGTTCATTACCTGACGTCTCTATGGCAACCAGCCCATGACATCATGGGGCTAAAGTCTTCAGGGGGAAAAGGAGACTTTGGTAGAAGCGCCCGGGTCCCAGATGGGTCAGGCAGGCAGGGGAGGGGCTGGAGCCAGGGGCCACCAGCCCACCACCACCTCAGGAAACATCTGGTGTCCCTGCTGCCCTGGCTCCCCCTTCTCATCCTTCTCACCCCCGCTCTGCAGCTGGAGAGCTCACAGCTTTCAGGAGTACCCAGGGAAGCATTCCAGCACCCATCCAGGTACCCAGCAGCACCCCGTAGCTACACAGACTCTGGCTTTGGGCAACATGCGGAATCCCAGATCAAACTCTCTTAGCTTTTTGTTGCTTGGTGTGTGTGTTTGTGTGTATGGTGTATGTGTGTATGGTGTATGTGTGTATGGTGTGTGTGTGTGTGTGATGTGTGTGTATGGTGTGTGTGTGTGTGAGAGGTGTATGTGTGTATGTTGTGTGTGTGTATGGTGTATGTGTGTATGGTGTATGTGTGTATGGTGATGTGTGTATGGTGTGTGTGTTATGGTGATGTGTGTATGGTGATGTGTGTATGGTGATGTGTGTATGGTGATGTGTGTATGGTGATGTGTGTATGGTGATGTGTGTATGGTGATGTGTGTATGGTGTGTGTGTGTATGGTATGTGTGTGTGGTG